TGGGCGCCTCCACGTGGCGACCGCTGGGTGGGAGTTGGGTTTCGCCCTTCTCCCTGCTAAGATCCAGGACACCAATCCGCATGAGTCGGCTAACTGACCATGTGCTAGACTCGCTGCCTTTCGGGTGTTCATTTAATCGAAGGCTTTGGCTGAGGACCCGAGTCGTTCTCCTGTCAGGATTGGGCGCCCTGGCAGTATCCTAGTCCATCCTCTCCGGAGGTTAGGAAGTGGTCGATGGCTCACTTCCCGTAAAACCTAGCCATGGGAGACAACAGGTTTACGGGTGATATTCTCAAAGCTCGATTGGCGTAGAGCACGAAGGCCACGCATTGTCTCTGACGGTGGGTGGACACCTCCGGGTGTTCAATGGTTTGCTACTGCCCGCCTCAAGCCAGGCAGCCCCTGGTCACATTGGTGCAAACCCGCCAAAAACCCACCTGCGTCTGGCCGTGGTCGCAGGTGCGTATCCAATTACGGTCGCAAAACATATGATAATTGTTCCAGAACCTCAAAGGCTGCGTGTGACGGCCGTCAAGCAGATCCCAATCTGTCTCTGCAATCACATTCCCGAGCTGGATCTGCTCTCCACTGCCTTGTGGGTCAGGCTATTGAGCCAAAGGCTCCGGGCGGAGTCCCTCAAGCCAACCTCCGAATCACCCACTGCCTTGTGGGTCAGGCTATTGAGCCAAAGGCTCCGGGTGGAGTCCCTCAAGCAAACCTCCAAACCACCCACTGCCTTGTGGGTCAGGCTATTGAGCCAAAGGCTCCGGGTGGAGTCTCTCAAGTAAACCTCCGAAGCACGACCACCTCGCGTGCGATTGCCCACCAATGCAATCGTATGCCTGCGCGCAAAGCACTCAGCATCGGGTGCTGGAACGTGCGCACACTACTGGACCGGAACTCCAGCCAGCGCCCGGAGCGACGCACTGCACTGGTCGCGATGGAGCTGGCGCGCTACCACATCGGTATTGCGGCGCTCAGTGAAACTCGGCTCGCTGAGCAAGGTAAGTTACATGAAGCAGGTGCTGGCTACACATTCTATTGGGTGGGGAACGCCACCTTAGCACCACGTGAACATGGGGTCGGATTTGCAATATCCGATCGCCTGAATGGCCAACTGGTGGGTGACCCAACGGGCATCAGCGCGCGACTGATGACTGTTCGCCTGCGACTCGGAAGAGGTAAGTTTGCTACTTTTATAAGCACGTACGGTCTGACCATGTGTTATCCTGATGACACGCGTGATCAGTTCTACACTGAGCTATCCTCCGTGATACGGTCTGTGCCGAGGAGCGACCGACTATTTCTGTTGGGTGATTTCAACGCGCGCGTTGGGCGTGATGCATCAGCGTGGACAGATGTTATCGGTGCGCATGGCATTGGTTCAGCGAATGCGAACGGTGACAGGCTGCTCTCACTGTGTTCCACTCACTGCCTGACGATCACGAACACTCGGTTTGCACTGAGTGCGAGTGATATAGCAACTTGGACGTACCCACGGAGTGGTCACGCTCACCTGCTCGACTATGTCATCGTACGTCAGCGTGATATGCGTGAAGTGCGCATGACACGTGTACTGCGTGGAGCTGAGTGTGGCACTGATCACAAATTGGTTCGGACCAAACTGTACATACATTTTCGTAAGTCTATGTATTGCACTCCCGCCGTGAATCGGCGTAAATTTAACATTCTCTCCCTCGGTACTGTGGCGAAACGTACTGAGCTGGAGAAGGCGATGGCTGCACGCCTGTGTGGTGATGTGGACTGCATAGCCACAGTGGGCGACCTGTGGCACCACATTCGCGATCAGGTGACAGCTGCTGCCGAGGAGACCATCGGGCACGCAAACTGTAAGCGGCCTGATTGGTTTGATGAGAACAATGCGACGATCGGCGCATTGGTGTCGGAGAAGAATGCAGCATTTGCTGCACATGCTGCAGACCCCAGTGACTTGGGGAAGAAGAGTCCGTTTCGCAAACTTCGACGGCGACTGACCCGAGAGCTCCGTCGCATTAAAAATGCATGGTGGACGGAGAAGGCGAAGCAGATGGAATGCTACGCCGAACGCCGCCAACACAAGGAATTCTTTGACTTCTTGAAGGCGGTGTATAGACCGAGATTGGAGCCGCTGAGGACACTGATCGATGGTAGTTCAGGCGCTACCTGCACCCAGACTGCAGACATAATGCAGGTCTGGCGGAAACACTTTGAATGTCTCTTGAACAACCGTTCAGAGATCGACTGGCCTACATTGAACGGCCTGAAGCAGCGCGATGTGAAGGCGGATCTGGCGGATACGCCGACACTGGATGGGACGCAGAGAGCACTTGCTCAGCTGCGAAACGGCAAATGTGCCGGAGGTGACGGGATCCCGCCTGAAGTATTGAAACAAGGTGGACCCGCGTTGTTGACTGCGCTGCACCACTTGGTGCAACGCGTGTGGATTGAGGAGGAGGTGCCTCCTGAGCTGAAGGATGCCCTTGTGCTACCACTGTACTAGGGTAAAGGGAGCAAGCAATGTTACACGAATTATCGTGGCATCAACTTGCTGAGTTGTGTGGGCAAGGTGATTGCCCGAATCCTGCTCAATCGCCTCGTGAGTCAGATTGTGGAACCTAACGTGGCGGAAGAGCAGTGTGGATTCCGTTCGGGTCGCAGCACTATCGACATGGTGTTTGCGGCTCGTTAGTTGCAAGAGAAGTGCAGAGAACGACACCAGCCATTGTACTCGCTTTTTGTTGATTTCACCAAGGCATTTGATACGGTGAACCGCGAGGCATTGTGGCTGGTGTTGGGTAAGTTTGGTTGCCCGCGTAAGTTTGTAACTTTAATTGGATGTCTGCGCAGTGGTATGCGAGCGAGGGTGCAGCTGAGTGGAGAGACCTCGGATGACTTTACAGTTGTCTCTGGTGTGAAGCAAGGCTGTGTCTTAGCTCCTGCCCTGTTTAATATCTATCTTCATGCAATGTTGTCTTGTGCTTTTGATGCCGCTTGTGCTTACGGTGTTCGTGTGGAGCACCGTATTGATGGTGGGTTGCTGAACATCCGTCGTTTCGGTGCGAGAACTCTAGTCTGTGAGACAACTATCCGTATGTTGCTGTTTGCTGACGACTGTTCGTTGTTTTCACACAGCGCGGATGAGTTGCAGCACATGACTAGTGCTCTGGCTTCGACAGAGGCTAAATTCGGGTTCACAATCAACACAAGCAAACGTGTCTTCCTCTCAGCCTTCGCCGGAGGTGCAATCTTCAATATTGCCGCAAATCCGCATTGGTACTGAAGTATTGGAAACCACCTCCCGTTTCAGCTATCTTTGGAGTGTGATATCGACTGATCATCAGCTACACAGTGAGTTGCGTATTCTCGTGTCGAAGGCGGCAGCGGCATTCGGGGAGCTTGAGTACCGAGTGTGGAACAACCATCAGTTTAGCATTGGCACGAAACTGATGGTGCACAAATCCATGGTACTGTCCGTTCTTCTATACGGCAGTGAAACGTGGACGATGTACCGGCGGGATGTGCGATATCTCGAGCGGTTCCATCAGCAGTGTCTGCGACGAATTCTGCGGATCGGCTGGGGCGCCAGAGTTGCAGACACGGAAGTGTTGCGCCGAAGTGGGATGTATGCAGTGGACGGCATACCTTTACTGCAACACCTGAGATGGCTCGGTCATGTGAGCCGTATGGATTCGACGCGGATACCGAAACAACTCTTATACGGTCAGCTGAGTATTGGGAAGCGGCACGTGGGGAAACCAAAGTTACGTTACCAGGACATGATTAAAGTGAGCCTCACACGTTCTAATCTTGATTGCAGATCATGGGAATCGAAGGCGGTTGATCGTGGTGCATGGCGCGATCTAATCACGAAGGCAGTTGCTGAAGTGCGGCAGAAAACCCTCATGCATGCAGAAAAGAAGCGGCAAGTGCGGAAGCGGCAAGCACCGATGAATTGTACTCCATCGACATCGAGCGCATGGTGCTGTAGAACATGCGGTCGCGAGTGCCTTAGTCAGGCAGGCCTAGTGAGCCATGAGAGAGGTCACTCGGGACCACTGCCGAAGCGCCGACGGGTCCCGCAGTGAACGTAGGCAGCACCGGCGCAGCGTTTGTAGACACGCTGAATTCGATTTACTAACCGCATGCTTGCATGCTAAGTCTCTTTATTTCAGGTGGTGGGTTTTCGGTTCTCTCCTAATGCCTTTCTTTCTCATATAAATGTCTAGCGGGCCATGAGCTATGCCATTAGGGGGCCACTACAGAAGCGACGACGGGTCCTACAGAGAATTACGGCGAGCCGGCACAGCGTTTGTAGGCACGCTGAATTCGATTTACTAACCGCGTGCTTGCATGCTAAGTCTCTTTATTTCAGGTGGTGGGTTTACAGTTTTTACCTTAATGCTTTTCTTTCTCATATAATTATCTCCCTGTACTCTTTCATTAACTTGCACACACCGCCCAAGCCAATTGTATTCGATTTCCATAACATTTTTGCGTTCGTGGCATTCCGTGAACTATACTTTCTGATCTCGTGCACTTAGCTAGGATTTGTTTGTAATCAACTTATTACATATGCTATTTAACTAAGGTTTATACCACCGTTTCCTTATGCATTAATCGAGTTTTTCTCTTTTTCTTTCTCTCTTTCAAGTGTTTGGCTGTTGTTTGATATCCCCGGTGTGGATGCGCTTGGTGTGCATGTTGACAAGGTGCCTACCTGTCTATTACCCACTACCTCGTCCATACTGGCTCCAGGAGACAGTTGGTCGTTGCTGGAGGGGACGGGGTGCACGGTCCTTGTGGCCGTGTTAGGATCAAAGAGTGGTTCCATGTAGTCAGTGTGGAGCGGACTACGGTCCAGCCACCGCCTTGTGTGCGCTTGATTCCCAAATACAGTGTGCTTGTGTTTGCCTGTGAAGAAGTGTGGGCCGGCTCCGTTGATGAAACGTGGTTCCCATCCGCATGCCTCCCGGTCTTATTCCTTCGGGTTTACACTGGATATGGGGTATGTGGTTGGAGCTGTGGGTGGTGCAGCGCAAGCCATCCATGGTCCCTCTGTAGGCGCAGGCGTCCTGTGGCTTGCCACAGTGACAGGCAAATCCGAAACCGGATGCCGCCAACCATGTATGTGCTGAGGCTGATGTTGCCTTCACCGTAGTTGGGCTAAACCAACTTACACTTAAACTAGGTCTCTTTATTTTGCATAAATTTTATTCCAGTTTATTTGGTTTGTTCTGCCTATCTGGATAGTCTTCTATTAGCTGGCCACGTTGTTTACGCTAATTGCGCTTATCTTCGGTAATTTTGTTGCGTTTGTAGCATTTTTGAGTAACTTGTGGACATTCTTTTTCCTTATCGCGGATTCATTGCTAACCAACTTACTTCATATGCTAATTTAGCGAAGAGTTATGCCACCGTATCTGTATGCATTATTGGATTTATTTTATTTCATTTTGTCGTTTCAAGTGATTGGCTGTTGCTTGATATCCCCGATGTGGCTGCGCTTGATGTGCATGTTGACAAGGTGCCTACCTGTCTATTACCCACCACCTCGTCCATATTGGCTCCAGGAGACAGTTGGTCGTTGCTGGAGGGGACGGGGTGCACGGTCCTTGTGGCCGTGCTAGGCTCGAAGTGTGGTTCCATGCAGTCAGTGTGGAGCGGACTACGGTCCAGCCACCGCCTTGTGTGCGCTTGATTCCCCAAATACAGTGTGCTTGTGTTTGCCTGTGAAGGAGTGTGGTCCGGCTCCGTTGATGAAACGTGGCTCCCATCCACATGCCTCCCGGTCTTATTCCTTCGGGTTTACACTGGAAATGGGGTGTGTGCATGGAGCTGTGGGTGGTGCAGCGCAAGCCACCCATGGTCCCTTTGTAGGCGCAGGCGTCCTGTGGCTGGCCACAGTGACAGGCAAATCCGAAACCGGATGCCGCTAACCATATATATATATATATATATATATATATATATATATATATATATATATATATATATATTTCGTACGTGTTCCTTGCACGCAATGGCTGCAGTGGATCCGCAATTTTTCTATCTTTGGCCATCGGCATTCGATCCAAGGTTTTAACCTAGAAACCGTGTACGATCTGTATCGCTGAAGCTGGGACGCCTGCTGTCGCTTGTCTCCGAACTGCTTGGATTTAGTGCTTTAAGGTTAAATCGCGTTTCGGAGAAATCGTCTTAACTACTTTCTTTTCTCGGACGCAGCATAGAATGTTGCTGGTTGTCGATTTTCCTTTGCTCTTCCTAGTGTCCTAGTGGTCATCCTTCTGACCTACTGGAAAATAAATTGACCTACTTTCGAAGAACGGTTGCGCCCACATTTGCAGCGCAGGAATTTTCGCGAAGGATTCACGAAGAGTCAGAACAACTCGGACAGAATTAAACGTTAGTTTAGGTTCGATGTCGATTTCAGTGGTTTTATTTGCAGTGTGATAGCGCAACATCGTATTAATCGTGCGCTGATTGCTCTAGGATCAATAACCCCACAACTACCCGTCATGATCCTTTACAACCAATTACGGCTGGAATTCCGAACGAGCTAATCGACTTCATCGTTGCCAAAGACTATTAGCACTCATCACTACTTTCTGCTAATGCTGGACCACTTTACCTAGTGATGTGATGCAGTCAATCATTAAAACATAGGCACATGAAGCGTGGCACAAGCCTTCTTCAGTAGTTAAGTAGCAAAATGGGGATCAACCTATCGAATCCACTTAAATCGTGGACCGAACTTGGAAAATAAACTCATGGACAATACGTTTCACCTTTTCGGCATTCTTGAGACGCTGTCGATCGTGTAGCACTAAAGCGAACGGGCTAGTCGAACCCACAAACCGCCAACTGGAGACGCTATTTCATTCGCTCCTGAATAGCGTGACGCTTCGTGACTGGGGTATGGCCATACCTGAACTCCTACTGGCTTATCGAGCATCTGTCCACTCACCGACTGGGTAAACATTACATCTTATGCTGATGGGACGTGAACTACGTCTGGGTTCGTACACTCTTCTGCTTACGTCTCACAATGAGTCCCTGATCGGATGAAGTGTAGTCTGTTATAAACACATCAGTTAGTACAGACGCATCTGCGAAACCTCACTGCGCCATCAGAAGGCTTACGTTGACCGCAAGGCATTTTGGAGTCCGTTCAAGTATGTTGATACGATTTGGCTTAAAGTAGCGCTAGAACCACCGGTCATCCTTGCGAATCTCCATCGCAGCTGGGAAGTTTTTTCTTCATGTGGAAAGTGTTGTCCTTTTTAACTTAAAGAACGGCCGTTCCTGGACAGCAACTGGAGGTTTCAGATGCTGAGTACATCGAGTGTTAGATAGGAGAGCACTGTAACATTGGGCTCCCATTGTTTTATTCCTCCGCTTCCTTCCCAGCGCCACCTTGACCTCAAATGACCTATTCGGCGCATGTTTGCTCACCTTATTCTAACACTTAATACGTTCTTCTTCTGGCTTCATTCTTATTTGGTTGTTATGATACTGACATCCGATCACCTAGTTCTCTGTTTTTCATTGCAGGTCATCAGGTCTATTGCGACTTAACCTACGTGTCGGATGCAGAAGCACACGGAATACCGAACCGGGCCAATACTACGCAGATCATTTCTAGCCAACGTCACTTTGTCCTATTTAGCCACATCAGAACAAAGTATGGGGTTCTTTCATCTTTATACTGTCAGTGGACATCCTAGTTTTTTCACTGCCATCCGAAGTTATCAAAACACTATGGATCCGTTACTGAATACATTCGAGACAACCTACACTTACCCCTTCTCGCGTAAGCTCACCTACGAACGAGACCTACTCATTTCAGGAATTGCCTCTAGAATTTTCTTGTGGGCTGCGCTGTCCAACATGACAGTCCACATCATTGCAGTATTAGTCGCTTTTTACAATCTCAGAATTCACAAAACTGTCCGTATATGTGTCCCAATCATCATCCTTTTGATGGGTGTCTGGAATACCGTTACTACGATCTTGATTTCAAGTAAACAAGGTTATTGTGTTTTATTTGTGAAGGCTTTGTGATCGCCGGTGTTTATACCGCTACTGGTATTTCATTCAACGAGTTCCACGCAATCACAATGGGATTACTCCAGACTGCTCTAGCTTTCATATTTTCTGTCAGCCGCATTTTGGCTATGCTCTAACGATTCTATCGTTTACATTTCAAGCTCTTTGCTGAAACGCCTTCCTGTTCATACTATCCTGCAGCACGCAACTTGTGTTTTGAGCCACATTCCCCGTTGGCGGGCTCCATCAGTAGTAAGCCAATGTAACACTTTACTTTATCATATAGTACCTTATTATGCGTTTTGCTAGCCATTATATTTGTCATTCGCTTATATGTTTGTCGATCGTTTATAAATCCGCTAAATTCTTTTACCTTGCAATTACTCGGAATACTTTTAACTCAGGCCTGCAGCTCAAGTCAAGTCAGCGTAAGCTTTAGGACCCTTAATAATTTCATTTTCAGCAGTTGCACCACCATTGCAGACATGCTGGATGAACACATCAGTGCAATATACATACCTGCATAAAAAATGGAAAATATGCCTGAATGTCATTCCAACAAACGCTCGCGCAGCATGTTCAAATCTCACCATGCAAACGTGATAGCTAGTGTAAGACAGCAATACGATACGATGACTTGCGGGGAAATAAAACTTTGTGTTTTGACGGCGTAGAGAAAAAGAACATTTTTGAAGATCACTGTGAAGTGGATGAAATCAGCCAGTCAGTACCTTAGAAGAAAATTTATTGCAAGCATCAAGATGTCTAGAAATGATCAAATCAACTAAAGAGCCCCCAGACATGCCGCTGCATATAGAAATAGGATGGATCTGAAGCAGTCAAGAAAATGTGACAGGTGTGTAGCATAACTATTGGGGGATAATGCATGTGGTCACAAACTTGAATACGGGGTACGGGGTACTGGAAGCACCTTAAGTCTGAGAGCGTAACGGAAAGTTTTCTGACTTTTGGGAAAATTTCATTTGTCTACGTGGTCCAGGTGAGGTTTTGGAACAAAAGGATTCCGAAATACTTAACCGTGGATGATCTGGGTATGCAAACTTTTCGTTCACAGTCAGATTGGGGAGATATCCATGAGTGACTGCAGCTTATTGCCAGGAAGAAAAGAAAATATTACATCACTGCATTTAGGATAAGGGCTCTGGATGAAGGCCACTTCACAAGATCTTGTAATCCACGGTTGGCAAACATTTCCCCGCCATCCGTAACTGTTTGTGATATGAGACCATGATCGAGTCACAGAAGGGGGCACCAATTTGCGGAGCGTCTTCTCGAATGTCTGAAGCCGGTGCTCGAGAAACAGACGATTGTCTTCACACGGTGTGAGCAATACCTTCGTTATCTGAGCGATTGTCATCGAACGCATGGTGACCACGCAGGTGGCTTTTACATGGTGATAGACGACAGACTAGTGTATCGCGATCCCGATTAAGGGCAAGCTCTGTACATGAGCTGGTAAACTTCACGATAAAAATCGTTCTTGACTGAGTCGCGACTGCCATCCTTTGGAGCGTACGCTGAGATCACAAGTTGCATCTCTCAACACGACGCCTGTTAATTCTGCATGATCACCGAAGCCGAACTGCACACAGTCGGCTATTAATCTGGAACCACTCCAGCAATTATGCCTCGGTTTGCTACTTAGTGCTCCACCAACCCCAGCCAAGCCTGCGGCTGCTGCACTTATGTCACCAGATAGACGTGCGTGTAATTTGACTCCGTAGTCGGTGAGAAATCTCAACTCACTCACCGCTGGGATTTTGCAGTCATATTTTGCAAAGACGACAAACATCGATGGCGAGGGATTTCAAGGTGCGCGCGAGACCAGCCTTCTGCCCCATCTGCATGGGTGTACATAGGGAACGAGGATCGAGACCGTAGGATGGCCACCGGGTCGACTCTTTGGTCATGAACGAAACTATCGGGAGTAGAATCACGGAAACAATAATCAGCTGGCAACGCATAATAGTGCCTGATGTCAAAAGGACAGGTGGTGTGTGCATGTGTGAGTAGTAGAAGCAAAAACGCTTGAGCGCGGTATAACGAATGAACAATGGATGGTTTTGTCAGTGGGCGTGATATCACCCGGTTACCCAAGCCGAAATACGGAGTTGTTTTCGGGAAAACTATCCCGATCCGTTGGCTAAATAGACTACTCGCAAAGCAGTGGGGCAAGGAGGAAGAATCACGCCTATTAAAACTGGGTGATTGATTGCTCAGTTCATACATCTTTTGCTTAGCAAGACACCAAACAGGGGCCCGATTCTCTCCATGATGTCAGCATATGCTTGCTGGAATATATTGCTCCACAGAGGTGAAGCAAGTGATTCACCGAATCGAAAACCTTACTGAAATCAATATAACATACCTCTACCGCAATCCCTTCGTTAAGACACTGGGTTATTTCATCGGGGAAACACAGCAGGTTACTGAGGCATAAGTTTTTCTTGATAAAGCCGTATTGTTTTGCTCCGATCAAGTTTCGGGTATTCAGATGCTTACAGATTAGACCTCTTCCAAGCCTTTACAAACACTTCAAAAGTACGCTAGACAGACTAACAGGCCTTTACTTATTAGGCGATGATTTAGTGCCTCCTTTATGGATGGTCACTACAACTGTCTCCTTCCAATCCTGTTATATCGTTCTCTCACGAAAAAACATTGTACAGTTCATAAACCGGAAGCTGGAGAATATCGGCAGTTGGTTTAACAATGGCTGGATCCACATTATAAGAGCCAGGGGAGTTGTATGGATTTAGGTCTTTTAGGACTAGGAGGACATCTCTGCCAGTTGGTACGATTTCTCCATTTTCCCTTCGCTTACGCAATGGGACTGCGAAGAGGTGGAATACTCACTATACGCTCGATGAACTTTCTGGCAAACGCGCAACAACTGCGCCTTATCGTCTCCTGCTTTGAATGTCAGTCCTCGATTGGCTCACATTGGTCAATCAAGTGATCACGTCTTCTCCCTGTTGATCTGGTACCTATTACAATAGGAGACGATCAAAAGTCACTTGGATCTGGCAGTGGCTACGAGACTGAATCAGACCCTTATAGCTGCACTGAAGATGTTGCCTAGCTTGACAACGAAAAGTCAGCAATAAAATTGCCCAGCTCGGAGAACAGAACAGACCTGTTATCCACACCCGAGCTACACGTATTCTCAATAATTTCCGCACAACTTTCATCCCTACAATGCATGATTTGAAATAATGAAAAAATGTTAAAGCAAATAAACGCTTGCTAATTTCTATTGAAAAAGTGTGATACTAAAACGTAAATGTGTTAAGGAAAAGTGACGCGCATCGTTGATCCCACTGCAATTTTCACTCGTACGCTCAGTTTAGTAAAGTTGTCCAGTCCAAATGACAGGACAAAGTATGTAATGCAGGCGGTGAATTGCATCATTGAGTCGAAGGTTTAAGTCAACTAACCTAGGAGCGGCGACAGAATGGGGAAGAATGTTTCACAGCTAGGATACACAAATGAAGAAAACATTCCTACAGCTATGCAATCGGATATACTATGTGGCCAACTTCAAATGGTAGCATCTCAGTGAAGTATTGTGGCTACATATCAATAAGTATTGAAATGGGTGGTTACGATCCTTGAGGATTTGACGCAGCAAGGTCACCACGCAAACAACAAAGTTGTCTACTGAAAACTCATAGACCCTCTAGTCCAAAGTAGTAAGTGAGCTGGAGCATGCTCTTAGTGTTTTTAATCACCATATTGGATTCTCAAAAACAGCGAGATCGTTTTCCCCATTTGTGCCAAAATTAGATGGCGTATTCTGTATGTGACTTAAAGTAACTTGAGCATTTACAAAATGAAGGTATGATCAAACCGACCAAATGCTGTCCGCAGTAGGCCCCAGATTTGGCTGGCTTTTTTCACTGCTTTATCTATTTCCCTTGAGCATACGAAATCGCACTACACAAGCCATCGCAACTAGTCCGAACCTTAGCGTAGTGCAATGATTTGCGTTCCCCCATGACCCATTGAGCTAAACAGGGTACTACTCCACAAGTGCCTTCAGAGCAACACGTACCAGACAGGTCAATGAGTAGGAACCATACTAACTCCGTTTCAAAATTTAATCCTTTTCGGAGGTTAAGGAGAGGTCGATGGCCCACTTCCTTTAAAACTTAGCCATGGGCGACAACAAGCATACGGTTATAAGCTCACAGCTCGATTGATGTGGAGTACGTGCGCCACGCATTGTCTCTGACGGTGAGAGGGCACCTTTCGGTGCTCAATCGTTTGCTACCGCCCGCCTCAAATCAGGCAGCCCTTGGTCAAATTGTTGCAAACTCGCCAACTCCCACCTGCGGTTTGCCGTGGTCGCAGATGCGTACCATAATGAGATTGTAAGACGCAAATGCATTGTCCCAAATCTTCGAAGACTGTGTGTGACAGGCCTGAGGCAGATCCCTGCAATCACACTCCAAAGCTGCACTTGCTTTTTACCATCTTGGGGGTCAGGTTATTGAGCCAGAGGCTCCTGGTGGTCTCGAACGAGCTTTCATGTACCCAACTGCATTGTGCGTCAGACTGTTGAGTCAACGGTTAGAGGTAGGACACCTCGAAACAAACCCTGTCTCGGAATGGGCAGCTGGAAAGTATCATCTGCCCTCTCGATCACCTCGACAATACTCCCTCTTCTTTTTCTCCCTTCTCTCCCCTCTTCCCCTTCTGTTTGGCACGAGACTCGCTGACCTCGCATCTCCTGCTATCGGTACATGTTGCTCTCCCAGCAAACCTAGAGTTTCACTTCACATTCGTTCTTTTAACCTCCGCATTCTAAGTCAGATTGGCCAGCAGGCAGCACTGGCTCTCACTTTTCACTCTCGGTATTGATGTTAGCTGTTTTCCGAAACACGCATACAAGATAACAGCATCGTGACGAATCTTCGACTCCCTGGTCCTGAATCTGATGACGATGGTGACAATCTTCTCGTCTCAGGTTTTACTGAGTCAGTGACTCAAGGTATTTGCGCTCAGCAAACATGCTGAAGACCATCTGCTCGACTGGACACCGGTGAACAGCCGCATGTGTGCGGTTCGACTTCGACTTCTATTGGAGTTCATAAACCGCGTCTGATGACAAGTTGCCTATTCATCACCTCAGTTTATGCCCCTGCTGAATGCAGTTCAGAGGGTATCAAAGACGATTTCTGTCAACAGCTCCTATCTCTACTTCGGATGGCGATACTGACATTCTGATT